TTCCTAAACTAGGACAAAATAGTTTTTGAGTATTTACTAATTTTCAGTTACAAATAAATATATTGATATCATACTGTGATGAGTAGAATGAAAAGATTTTCTAGATAAGTATAGGGCGGCCTGTTTGAATATCTGGGCTACCTCTTCCTAGCATCTGGATATTTCAACAAGTTATCTGTTTTCTTGTTTGTTTTAACACATTATTGTGCCTATTAGTCTCATAACCTATTCACATGCGTTTGTGTAAAGTTTATGACATTTCACCGTACAAAATACAAAAGAACCCAGCGACATCATGGTTGCTAACAATATGCATCGAAAAGAATATACATTATTCAGATGTTAATTCCTGAACTGCTAACATTCAACTGGCGACCATTCAATATTTATCGTCAGGATCAACCAAGAAATAAGAAACGGAAACTTGTTGAAATACTTTGTGCTGAGAATTCTGTTGTACCAAAAATAAAATATCGAATAAAGCCACCAATAATAATAATAATAATAAACTATGGATTTAGTTATATAAAACAGCGAATTTGACTCAATAATTTCAGCAACTTAAATATTTCTATTCAAATGCTAAATGTATTAAATTTCTATAAAATCATATTGAAATACAAGCAGATTGATCGTTCTTTATTCAACTAATTATATTGATCCGTCTCCAAAATTACTATGATGACTATTATTCCTTCCCATTTAAACGCCTTCTAAACAAACATCACCATATTTAAATATTAAATAAATAAATTTATTAAAAAAAAACAAAATTATTATGTAAATTAGATAAAGCAGTAATTATTAATTTTATTTCAATACCACGACAGGTCTATTTTGAATGATTATAATCAGAGAAGGGTTATTGTGGATACTATAGTAATTTAATAGTTGAATCGATGAATCAATTGAAGCTAGACGACCATTGAAAACCTGGAAGCATTAGATGGCCGTTTCGTTCTAGTATGGAACTCCTCACCTGTACGCATCCATGATCCCGCCTCGCGCGATTCGAACCAAGCGCGAACGTTTAACCAAACTAGAACGAAACGGCCGTTCAGTGCTTTCAAATTTTACATGGTGATCTAGCTTCAACTGATTAATGAATTCAACTATCAAATTATTTTGAATGAACTACTTATTAGATCATTTAATTCTGATAAATAAAATATGTTCGAGTTTTATTACTGAAAAAATTTATGTACTTCAGTAAGATAACCAAAGAAGGTTAAACAAATATACACTTACCTAAATATCATTTCCATACTGTAGCCTATTCTTTATACAATATAATAAAGCATAAATAGATAGTACAATTTCAATTATTTTTTATTAAAAATAACTGGTTTTTAAAATTCTTTTTCAAAAACAAAATATACTATTTACACTGATTGGAATTATACTCAGAACAATTGAAGTTCTGCTTCAAAGTAAACCTTAGAACAAACATTTTCAAATTGTTTAACATTTGAATCATTTAAAAATTGACTTGATTATTTGAGAAAATAGAATTAACAACCTTTTCTAGGAAATTTTCATCTTGAAACAGTTCATTAATATATCGGATTTAGATACTCAAATGTTTACATGAACGGTCAGGATACAATATTCAGACTGTTAGTTTTTATTACAGAAAATGAATTATAAAATAAGTATCAGAAGGGGCTTTGTGGAGATTTTGGTAATTTCAATAGGTGAAATCATGGGTTAATTGAAGCTAAACCACCATGGAAAACCTGGAAACAATAGACGGCCGTTTCGTCCTAGTATAGGACTCTTCAGTAGTGCGCATTCATGATCCCGCCCCCACCCCGCGAGATTTGAGCACCTAACCATTAGACCACTGAGCTAGCATCGAACGGTGTTAATATCCAACTCCGACTGCTGAGGAGTCCCATACTAGGACGAAACGGCCATCCAGTGCTTCCAGATTTTCCATGGTGGTCTAGCTTCAATTCACTCATGATTCCAACTACTGAAATAAAAATAAGTGTCAAATTAGTCACGTACGTGAAATTCTTTTTAACAAATTTTTAAACACTCAATTTCCAGATTGAAAAACGTGTAACTTTATCCAGAATAGAGTTGAACTTGAGAAACTTCACTAAAATGAGTAATTTTGTTTCGAAGATCAAATTCTTAAGTGAAAAGAAGTGGATAAATATGACCGATTCGAAGTAACCATTAAAGTTCACTTACACATCTTCCTTATTGTCATGGCGATTATTCAGATATGGCTAATATGAAATCTGAAAAAGTTCTCCAAAGCAACTATCTATAATGCTAAAACATCTTGGTTGTTTGGATTTTCTCATCAGTGTTTAAGACTTCACTCGATCAGTCTCTTTTAACAAATATATTTAGCTAATAAGTTTTAAATAAGACGGAATACGAATACTCCGTTTCATTACTCACCAACATCCACCTCTACTTACAATGCGTACAAATTTGGTCGCCCTTAGAAAAGTCTTGAATTTGGCTTTACTTTCATATTCGTTTTGAGGCCTAATAAAATTCAGAAAATATGAATGTTTGAAATAGACAATTTGTTTTACTATTGAACAACTACATCAAAATCATACACTTTCCCAGATTTATTTCCTAATATTTTAATGTTTTATCTCAATACATATGACACAAGTATTGATTATACATTTGGTAATCTGAGTTTGATTTTCATTCAATTTCATACCAATATGTAAACAACTCTTGTGTTTGTTACTGTGTCTGTTATTTTTCAAACTGATTTTTGTTTTTATGGTTAGTTTTTTTTTATTTCAATGCAAAATAAAAACCTATTGAAAATAGTTTGACCTTCAAATATGACATCAAAACAATGTAAATTTAAAGAGGCCATTAACGTAAATAAACAACTGTAGGTGTTACTTTCATGTCTTTTTTTCCTAAAGACATTAGTGTCACACATATGTTGTTTAGTAGATTGTAGAGTTCTTGAAATGAAAAAAATATGCATTATGAGAATTAAGTATATTTTATCAATAATTATTGCTTCAGTCCGACAAAATTTTCAAAGTATTTAATATCTCAACTAAAACAAAATGTGCAAGACTTAATTTCATCTTTGATTTCGTCTAAACATTGTAGACTTTTCATAAAACTTAAATTTTGTATTTATATATGCCCCATTTGTGTCTATATTATTTCAGAGATAATATAGATTCAAAACCGAACATGTAGTGAGGATGTGGTTTACCGAATTCCTAGAAGAAATAGTCATTACAATGACTATTATTATTAGAAGTGAAAGAAAAACTAAACTAGAATGCATATCGAAAGATTGGAAGTCTGCCTTGGTCACCCTATACCGTAGTGAAACATCGGAATAAATTAAGAGGCTTCTAAACAAGTATGATATAAGAGTGTATTTTCGGGCTTGTGACATCATAAGGTCTGCATTAGTAAAGGTTAAGGATGGATTTTCAAAGGAAGAACAATAGAATATTGTCTATGATACCAACAGTCGTCACTGTAATGCAGATTATATGGGAGAAACTTTAATACAATTAAATGTGAGGTTGAAGGAACACAAACAATGTTCGAAAAATGTTCCTAAATTCTCGGTTGATCTAAAGAATTTTGAGAAAAAGTCTGTCATAGCGTTACATGCGGTAGAAACAGGACATAAGATCAATTTTGAATGAACCAATATACTTCAGAAACGTTTTGGCACACATTAAGAATGATTGACAGCGAAGCGCAGCATATATGGGCGAATAAGATCAGCCTGAACAGAAGGATGGTATTCAACTAACAACTACTTGGCAAGTATTCGTCAGCATGTAATTGAACCCTTTCACTATCTAACGTGTTTATTTCACATACATCGTTACTCTGACTGTAATTAGTGTGGGTTATTTTAGCAATACAATTATGTATTCGATGATTCTCACTTTACATACACATCGATGATTCAGAAACAATTTTTCAACCTTCAACTTGCACTTTTATTTTTCCTTCATATAAAAACAAAATTAACATCTAATACCAACTACTAATAACTCAATCTAACACATACATACACACAATTCGTTCAATCATTTATATTCAAATCGTGAACTTTTCACATGATTCGCATTTAACCGACTCATGTCAAAAGACTAATATTTGAACGAAGAATATTCTTTTCGATAAATTCCCTTCCGAAAAATGGCCAGGTTAAGGGCAAAGTTCATCGTTTAAAGTGTGTGAACATTTATTTAAAACTTTCACAGATTGAAATCATGAGTGACTTGAAGCTAGACCGCTATGGAAAATCTGGAAGCACTGGATGACCGTTTCGTCCTATTGAGGGGCTCCTCAGTAGCGCGCATCCACGATCCCGCACCCTTCGGGATTCGAACCCAGGATTTACTGGTTTCGCACACGAGCACTTAACCAATAGACAACTGAGCCGGCATCCGACAGTGTTAATGTCTAACTTCAACTAATCCACGAAATTGCGCCACCGTACATCATTGTCTTCAGTGAGTTGATATCTCACAACAGACCTGGTTAAACTCCATTGGTAACGGCTTCTCACTAGAACTCCAGGAGTATCTCTTGAAGTAAGTCACTAGTGAGCAGTTGATTGTTATCAGAACGGGTTTTGTGGAGATTTTTAGAAATTTCACAGGTTGAAATTATGAGTGAATTGAAGCTAGACCACCATGGAAAACCTGGAAGCACTGGTTGACTGTTTCGTCCTAATATGGCACTTCTCAGCAGTGCGCATCCACGATATATAAAATAAAAAGTCAACTAGACTAGAAATGAACGGTAGGAGGAGACAAGAATAATAAAGAAATAATGCGAAAACAATATGAAACCCCATCACGTGGTTCAAAGTTTGCAGCATCTGTAGGCATAGTACAAGGTTGTACAAGAACTTTGATTTCACCGACGGCCTGTTCTTTCCAGGCTTTATCGACATGATGGTAGGCACGGCAACGTCGAAGGAAAATACAAAGCTCTTCTTCTTTTCCAGTCTTAATCCCCGAACCATGCAAATTGAACAAGATCAAGCTTTATTACGTCTATTTTCTAATCAAAAGTTACCTGTTATTTATCCGTCAGAACTTTATCCATCCATTTTACCCGAAGATGAAACTGTCAAAGACCAAAGCCAATCATTTTCCGATGTGCAGTCAGCAACATTAAATCTTTCAAAGATAAAAACTACCTCGTCTCCTGGAAATATGAAGAATTCCAAATTAGAACAGTTACTTGTTGTCTCAGGAGAAATTGCCCCTAACACAGAAGTCTCCATTGTTCCCAAACCCCCTTCTAAGCCATCGACTGAGAAAAGTGTGGAAGTTGTCAGTAAAAATCAATCTGTTCCATCATCATTATCTACACCTCTTTCTCCTAATAATCCTACTTCTATCATTAGTAGTAAACCATCAAATATAGCTTTTAATTTGACAAGAAATCAAATTGCGATAGGTTCAACTGTATCATCATTAGTAAATTCTGCATCAGTTTCAAATGTCAAAGAAGATGATCCAAGCACTACTACGTTCCGAAAATCTTTCTCACTAGGGATGAACCCAATTCAATAGCCCTTATTCACTCAACCAAATATCACGTCAGCTTTCACTGTATCTTTAACTGCCAATGATAGTGGTAATCTATTCGTAAAATCTACTTTATTTAAACCGCAAACACCATCATCATTGCTGATCGTGAGTTCATCTAGTGGCGGTGCTTCTATAGCTCAATCGTCTGCACCATTTGACCTAAACAGTTCTAAAGTCACTAATCTAGTTTTCCAAAATACTGAACCTACTATCACTACGACTAACAATTCTATTATAACATCTGTCACAACAATCAATCAAACAAGTTTCATCGATTCTAATCCAGTTATTCATACTAACAGTTCATTGTTCAATCCTTTAGTTATTCCTAAACCTATTGTCACCAATCCATCGAATGATTTCGATAATGCTTCACCATGTAAAGAAACAGATGAAATTTAGAAAAAAAATCTTGTTCCAAACATCTCTTCAGTTAACTTGCCTCAAACTACTACTGTTTCTTTTAAATCACCTGGACTATCATCACTTTTACCAATTCCAGTATGTGGTAGTTCAGGTATAATGTTTGGGTCTGCACAAAGTCAAGTTATCAGTACTGCCACTACCAATACTGCGATGAGTTCTTCATTAAGTTCTCTTTTCACTGGTATACCATTGAGCACTAAAAGTACAATAATTACAAATTCAAATACTACAACAAAGTCCAATGTTACATTCAACAGTAGACCATTATTCGGTGCACCAAATTTAGTTACAGCCACTACTGTTGTTTCATCAACCTCCAGCACTGGTACAAATATCTTTTTGTTTGGCAATGCAAATCAGTTGTCTTCTACGATTAATATGGAATATGTAACCACCGTTTCACATGAGAATACTGTGATTTGTCTCACTGGAATTTATATTTCGAAAAGTGAGGCTTTCAATAAAACACCGACTAAATTCGTCTCTTCAGTTTTCGGTGGTCTTTTTGCAGAAGCGGCGACCGTCAATTCTCAACAGATTACATGTAATTCAGCTAATTGGGGTACTGGCCTTTTCGGCTCACCTATGGGATCCGATACACAACCTAAAAACAATTTATTCTCTGTGTCAAACTGAAGTCTTGGCGGGAATTCAACACCTCAAAATTCTGCACAAAGTGCTTTTGGCAAAGCATTTAGTAATACAGCTTTTGCAAATCAAGCTACCCCTACTTTATTTCGCTCACCTAATTCAAGTACCCAGAATAACATTATTTCTGGAGCGAGTCCATCATTGTCAAATCCTCAATCTGGTCTTTTCAGCAGTTCAATTTTAGGTTCATCTTTGGCTCTCCTACAGCTGACATGTTTTGTACTCAGTTCCGGATTCGTTTAACTGACCATAAAATCCAAACCATTGTCACTTATTTCCTGTCACCTTTTGTGTGAAAAGAATATGTGTGGTTTCGTTTGAATCAATGAGTTTTTAATCAAAAATAAAACGTTATATTTTCGATAGCTTTGAAAGATAAAACGTGACCAAACACCTCATAACAATCAATACAAACATAAATAGATGAGGAATTTTATTTTCGTGTACTATAATGTCAGTTATCTCCTCTTTTCAGAGACAAACATTGTTTAATGGTCTCACTGGTAAAAAGTTAATCTAATCTCATCAAGGATGAAAAGTCACATTTCTAAACTTAATTATCTGCAAACTGAATTATTATTATTATTATTGCTACACTAGTTGTATAAGGTTCATTCATAGCAATTTTTCAGATACTCTGCTGTACTTAATCGTAAGACCAGTTTACTAATTATATTTTAACCAGTTAGTATTTCACTATTAATTTTCACCCACATCTACTTTATTCTATAACATAGTATCTAAATGTAAAATGATAACTATAATCCTAATTCAGTTTCAAGAGCTGAGGATTAAACAGTAATATAATGACTTGCATAAAATCCATGTAATAAACTAAGCTATTCTGATTTAGATGGTGGTTGGAGGTAGTCAACAGGAAACCCTGGACCCGGGTTTCGTGCTACTTGGCACTCGTCAGTAAGGTGTACCTGTAATCTTGAGGGAACTGGTGCTCCCTGGCGGATTCGATCTCATGCCACCCAGCTTCACAGTCAGAGACGTTACCACTGAGCTATCCGAGCCGTAACTAACCTCCTGTAGGACTGAGATGTAATCACAATTGATTGATCACTGGGTGGTGATCAATGTCATACTTGTCTAGTCCTTATTAGTGCAGGGTTTCCTGTTGACTACCTCCAACCACCATCTAAATCTCAATACATTGTGCCCGCAGTGTCGAGTCACCTGGACTGGTGGCCACATTGCAACATGATCGATAGCATTCGATCTGCACTAATAAGGACTAGACAAGCATGACATTGATCACCAACCAGTGATCAATCAATTGTGACTAAGCTATTCTTCTATTTATGTGAAATGCGAAGGATGATTTATGAAATATTTAACAGGTATTATGGTTACTATCTAATTCAAAATCAATGATTATTTTACCATGATAATGATTTACATGAAAGCTTAGTTATATACACTTGAAAAATTGAGAGCAATTTTCAATCGTACTTTAGTCTTGATTTAAGTGTAACATAAATCTAGTAAAAATTAAGTTTATTTTATAATGTTTTTTTGTTACTGCTAATATTAACTCTATGAATAAGTGTTGACCGAATTAAAACCTCAAATTTTAAAAATCCTTTAGTTTTAGCGTAGATCCATGTTCTTCACATGTGATTTTTTCTCTTTTAATAAAACAGTATTTAGAGCAATAAGCTCTTTACACTAGATACTATTTATTCATCCAACAACTAAGGTCATTGTGATAAAATTAAGGTTAATAATCAGGCTACAATTAAAAAAGAAAAAGATTTAACTCTAATCGACAAGAAAATTATGTGAATGCCAATTAACCTCATTTTGGGATTTAGCTTATTATTTGGGTTTATTACTAATTGTATTGTATTGAAATGTGAATAGTATCATTAAGGTTATGAAATAAATGTTTCAATTAAAAGTGCTTTGATGTTGAGTAGAAACTTCATATAATTTTTCATAAAACGTTCATCCTGTTTCGTGTTATACCTTTTGATCATAGGCAGTATTGTTTAATCGTGCAACAATATAGGACTTTGAAAGTAGTGTTCAGATAAAAAGCAAAACAATATAGAACAAAAATTTTCTTATCAAGTTAAGGGTATCCTGATGCTCGAATAACTTATACGTGCTTAACATAGTAACCGACACAACGCAGGTATAAAGTCCTTAATAGGACGAAATGAGTGTTTTAGTTTCCAATACTAACCTCAAATCAAATATTATTAGTATTTCTTCATATTTATGTGGATTAAAACAAAATGTTACACTAGTAAATTCAAACCTATTGGAATGTTATTCAATTAGATAATTTGTGAAGATAAGTTTATTTTAGAAAAAAAATTGTCTCGAAATGAATTGATGCCATAGTAAAAATCAAATAAAACTAGAATATTATCAGAAGTTAGTTATATGGAGATTTTAGTAATTCTAAAGTTGAATTCATTAGTCAATCGAAGCTAGACAAACATGAAAAACCTGGCAGCACTGGACGGTCGTTTCATCTTATTATGCTTAATCGTTCGTGTACGAGACCGATAGGTCCTAAGTTCGAATCTCGGAAAGCGTGATCGTGAATATACACTCCTGATGAGTCCCATACGATGACCTAAATGTCTGTCTAGTGCTTCCAGGTTTCTCATAGTCGGCTAGCTTCAATTGACTCATGAATTCAAGTATGAAACTAAAATATATTTTGAAAAACACATTTCTATATATTTTGTATTTACTTATCAAAATATTTAAACACTGATTTTACACATCACTTTTGTTTTGATAGAACAATTTTTTTTAATCAATATATCAAAAGAGATTTATTTTAGTGAATAAGATGGTTATGAAATGAAACTACATTAAGAAAAGCATTTATGTTTGTTTGTATTTAGGGGTAATTGTTTTTAATGTATATTCATAAGCCTAAGAGTACAATCATAATATCAGTAAATTGGTTTAAAATGATCTAAATATTACTTTGTTATGATATATATACTCATTAATAGAAGTTCACTGAAATCAATTTTTTTCCTTAGTTGAGGTCATTCAAAAAATGTTACTAGTTAAACGTTTATCTTTTCATCTTCTTTAGAATATTCATTCAATAATACAAAGAATCTCATACGATGTTATAACTCTTGAGAGGGTTCTAAACGTTTTTATTCAATTAGTTCATTTTACTATGGATATCAAAATTTAGCTTACCAAGTTATTATTAGGAAATTCAAAATGATATTCTACCTAACTACTCATGTTTTACAAATCATTGATAGTTACTTACAATTAAAACACATAATGTATCCATCGAAACACCCCCCCCAAAAAAAATTAATACATACTTCATAATAAAATAGAATAATAAAATAAAAGAACAATAATCTTGGATTCCATTGATGACCACTATCCATTTCTGCTTATAGTAATCTTATACTAAAAGTATAGCAAAAATTTTAAAAAAAACATTATTTCAAACTACTCAATAAACCAGTATATTTGTACTGAAGGGCATGTGATTATTGCTGACATTCTAGCCTATTGTAAAATAAGTTATCAGACTATAAATAAAACGAAATCTATATGAGGATAACTAATTTGGATATGTCCACCAGGTTAGTATGTTAAAAAGAAAAACAATTCAACAACTAAACTCAATAGACATTTGTTTAAAGGAGATTGAGTTACTAAGTATTGTTTTCTCTCCACATTGATTTATATGATATACGTAATAAGATCTACTGACATTCAGTAATATGTAACGACAATTAAGAATAGTCATATAAATGTATATGTACTACGAATTAATAGAAAAGATTTTTAACAAATACTTTTGTTAATATTCCACTCTTTGAGCTGGATAATTTACTTGCAAAGCAATTATTGTCATTAGAGCAAACAACATAAGGGTCTACTTTAAACTTGAACTCTGGATAATTATTCTTAAGCGTTTTGAAAATTAGCAGAATTATTACTTCGAGATGAGAACATATTATTAGACTGATAGATCAATAGATAGATAGGTAGACGGAAGTAAATTACACATGCCTTGGTTTAATTATCGCACACCATACCAACACATGAGATAAATAGAGGTGATTACATTGATGTTTTTGGGAACACTGACGTCAGGAATGTAATCGAAAAGTAAAAATATTCCGAAATGAACACTAAAAGTGGAGGATAAATAATGGACATTGCTAAGCTACTGGTTTCAAGTTTTGTTACATAATTTGAAAAAATACAGATTATACTAATCTGATATATCTTGAACATCATTTTTCATTTTGCACAGCATATCAGTCCAAACTGGCAATGAATTTAAAAACCGGTCCCATAACTTGCCAACTCATGATGTACTGATGACATTTAAGAAAATAAATACCCAAAGTACTTGAAATAAATTGTTTCAATATCCTCAATAAACTAGCTACAATACACACACTATAGCTGTCATTTTGTATTTATATCAATGATTGTTACTGAGTTGATGAATATTCTTAAAGAATTTTACGAAAAGATCGAATTTTATGTACATTCACCCCTAATATACGAATATAAAACTTTAAAAGTTGTCAGCATGGCACTTTTTCCTCTTTTTGATGATTTATTCAATGACATCGATATCACTATGGCATTGACATTATGATTTTCAATTTTACTAGATCTAGCTTACAATAAAACTGGTGGAAAAAAAGTTAAATTTTATTGACATTGAACTTAAATCTTTCTAGTAGCTGTTTACGTTAAAATATGCTTATGTTTTTCACGTTCTTTCATTACTTATTGTACATTTTGATATATTATGACAACCGTTTGACATTACTTTTAGTTAAGTAAGGATATGAATAGTTTAGAAAACGTTATTAGTCTAATTCCTCTAGTTTTAGGTGCTTTTTCACTAGTACACAAGCTAAAAATGAGAATTGTTAGGATATATGAGTTTCTTTTTTTTTATCTCATCACTGTCTTAATAATGAGGAATTCTTGTCTTTCATAGTGTCTAGCTG